GGAAGTTTATGTGTCTGAAATGTTTGCATTTTTATAAACATGTAAAACCTGTGAACTCAGGGGGAAAACACTAAATGTTAAAAGCTGATTTTGATGGGCAGGGGAGCTGCTTAAGAGGAAAAACTGCCCAGGACACCTGCCGGGATTTATGGGGAGAGAACTGGTCTTGTCTCGGGCCTAAAACTGGCCCCAAAACGGTGGCCAGGCTCCTGACATGGTCCCCAAGCTGCTTCCCACATTTCACAGTAAGGACAACACTTCTTTTGTGCCTTCGGAAGGGCCATCCACTGGACGGCATCAGGTCACTTTGTTTTGGGCCGGGATGATCTCCACTCTGCGACAGCACTGTAGCATCTGGTGCAGCTGTCGGTGAGCAATATAAAAAAGGGCGGGGGGGGGGGGAAATATCAGCGTCCTTACTGAAATATAAATAAAGAAAAAGGATCTGGGTGGTGAAGAGGTTAAATCTCACAGGTGGAGAGAAGGCAGCTTATTTCCTGTTGCAGTTTAAGACCTGACCACTAGATGGTGCAAAGGGACCACACATTTTGCGCCCTCTCCCTGCACAGAATTCTTCCGCGTTAATAAGCACAATGAAAGCTTTCCAGAGAATGAGCAATTGTGCTGGGATATGAACGTTTTGCTTTTATAAAATTGGGACTCTGCCATTTCATTACTGATACAAAAATCTTCTGTTTCACTTTCTGCCCGCCTATGCAGGTTCCAAATCCACACTGCATCTCAGCTGTTTGAAGGGGCCAGCAGAAGCCCATGAAAACCGAATGTCCAAAAGTTGAATTCAAAAATTCTTTTTACCTCGAGCTGCCACATGTGTCCCGTTAATTTCACCTCCATGTCGTGACGTCGCTGCTTGAGGAGTGGGCCCCAAGCTAAATAAGCAATAAGCCCCATTTTTCAACATACAAACACATAAAGATGTCAGCTCAGGCTGTTTACTAATTAACGCTTAAAAAGACACAAATTAGATATGCGTGGCTAAGAGCAATTATAATCAAGACGAATTTCTCTAGTCATTTGGGGACTGAAAAAAAAATGCCTAATTGCTGGAACCAATGTTTTAAAAACTGAAATCATGCCAGTTAGCAAATATGTTCATTTAAAGAACATTCCACGTGACTACACTCTTGAGGATTGACTACAAACACGAGAACAAGGAAAATATTTAGGTATAAAATTAAAATTTTAAGCTCCCTTAGATTTATAACTTCTTCATTAAATACGCCTGCAAACAGCAGCCCATAAAAACCTGCAGCAATTAAGTGGTTAAATGAACTGCCTCCCTTGTCAATTTTAAGGGAGTGATTAATACGAGATCGTCCCTTTACTAATTAGACTCTCCCTTGTCTTTCGGCCTTAGATCCGTGAAAATGGAGGCTGTTTGCTCCACCAGGAAGCCGGTGGCGACCAGCACATCCCTTGTTGGGTCTGAGTGCGGTGCCCCTGAAGGGCGGGGAGCCCATGGTTTCCGTGGGAGGCGGGCAGCAGGCGGGGAGATGGCTGTGTGTGGAGCTGCCCGGCATCCGGATGCCCGTCCATCACAGGAATCGCCAGCTCCTATTTTTAAAAGGCTCGCCGGTCGTCATGCACGCAGCGTGAAATCTACCACCATCAAGGCCACTCTCTCCTGACCATCATTCCCCGAGACAAGGGACAGATTGGCCTGTGAGGGAGGCAGGGTGGGGCCGTGGGGGAGGAGCACACAGGCTCCGGTTCAGGTGACCGACAGGGGAAGCTGCTGCCTGGACGGGAATACAACGGATGGAGAAAGGGCGACTGCTTCCGAGGGAAGTAACGCGCATTTCTATGCCCAGCTCGCTTGGAGGGAAGACGCTTCATCACAGGGGCTGGCTGCAAAATTACACCTCCCGACTCCCAGGGGAGAGCCTTTTGTTTGGGCAGCGGGAGGACAAGGAGGCCTGCAGGGGACACGGCCCCAGGCCCCCGGCTGCTGCCCAGCCCCCTGGGGAGGGGCCAGGCTGGGCCAGAAGACCTCCCGGTGCTGCCACTCCTGCCACTGGTCACCCCCTGGCCACCTCCCGGGGCTGAGGGGAGAGGAACAAAATCTCACTCTCTCAAGCCTGGGACCCATTTACTTGGCAGGGAGCCAGGGGAGACCAGGGAGGAGCCCCAATAGGCAGTCTCCCGCCTTTGGGGGTAGGAGGCTTGGCTTAATGGGATGAAACAATTTACAGCAGTGGTTCTCAAACTTCTGGCCCTATAAATACAGCTCCTCATGTTGTGACCCAACCATAAAATTATTTTTGTTGCTACTTCATAACTGTCATGTTGCTACTGTTATGAACCATAATGTAAATATCTGATCTGCAGGATGGTCTTAGGCGACCCCTGTGAAAGGGTCGTTCGACCGCCAAAGGGCCAAAGGGGTCGCGACCCACAGGTTGAGAACCGCTGGAGTAGCGGGAGCAGGGAAGCTGCCAGCAGAGCTCCCCCTGCCCTGGGCCCCACCCCTCCCCACCAAGAGCAGCCAGACCTGCTGGGGATAAAAAGGGGACAATCATCCCATGGAGGAGACAGCCGCTGCCCAGGGCCAGCCCCGGGGCCCAGACCAGGCCTCAGCCACCCCGCAAGGCTGGGCTCAGGGCCTAGAAGGAGCAAGCTCAGGTGTATTTATGGAGAAAACCCTCACACCCTCACACGTGGCTGCAGAAGATGGAGCTGTTCACCAAAGTGTACGGATATCAACATACTAGTCACCACTACATGCACGCGGACGGCTGGTGTCACATGTCAATCCTCAGATTAGAGGCAAAACTCCACAGCTTCTGACGGCGGGGTGTTTGCGGCGGCTTCACACCCTGTTTGCCGTTTCCAGCCTCTTCCCGTTTCCCCACATTTCCAACTCGGCTTCAACTTCCTTCAACAGAGAGGACGGACGTGTGTGATTAGCCCGTCACTAGAAACAAGAACTAGAGCTTGGCTCGGTCCCCCGATGCCACCGCTCAGCCATGGCCCGATCAGCGCGTGCCGAGGGCTGGGCTCGGCTGTTCACGCCCTCCCGTGGACACGGAGGCGGCCGCGGCCACGGCAGCCACGGAGCGGGAGCCAGCGCAGGCCCTGCTCTCAGCCATCACACGGTGCCCAGTCAAACCCCACAGGGGCTGCAGGGGCAGCGTTTTCATTACTGCCCCAGTTTTCAGACGAGGAAACTGAGGCTCAGAAAGGCCCAGGGCCGCGGACTGCAGAGCCCGTCTGCCCACCAGCTCCGCTCAGAGCCTCTGACCTCAAGACAAGACAGCCCAGCTCGACACGTCTGGTCCGGACGTCAGTCCTGAGAGCGGGAAGAGAACTGAGGTTTACAGCGGTTCCACCACAGGCATGGCTCTGCACCGGCCTCTCCCACATCCCCCCTCCTGTGCTCCCCGTGACCCGAAGGCCAGGGTCAGGACGCAGGTGTCCCTCCCTCCCCCTCCTCACTCCTCACCAGCCCCTCGCAGGTCCTCGGAGCCACAGACTTCGAGTCATGAGGGAGAGGATTTGGGGTGTGACACACTGGGCCTCAATCTTTTCCCCACCCTCCGAGCCTCCATTTCTGCCCACGACATGGGAGGAATGACACCCCCCGGGTCAGCGTGGGCGAGGGCCGGGGAGGCGGCAGGTGGAGCCGGGAGCCCGCGCTGAGCACACAGCAGGTGCTTAAACACTCGGGACCCAGGGGCGCGAAGGCCACGCTGGGGGCTGCCCCATCGCCAGCACGTGCCACCTCACAGCACCCAGCCACGGCGACGGGCACCTGTCTGCCAAGTATTCACGAAAAACCCTGTGGGATCGGTCTACGGAGAGCCCTGCTTTAAACAGAGAGCGGGTGTGACTTGCCCCCAGTCAGTGTGGGCCAGAGCCGTCCGTCTGAACTTCACCATCCTGAACGGTCCCAGGCTGTGCCCTGCGGCACCACCTGCAGCCAGAGCAGGCCACCCTCGAGGCCTCCCCTTCCCCCACACACCGGGCGCCACCGCCGAGGACCCCGCGCCGAGGCCGGGCTGAGCAGGGCCATCGGCTCCTGGACCTGAGACGGGCTGACGGGGTCCTAGGCGCCTCCCAGCGTGGCAGCGGCCTGTCTTTCCCCGAAGTTTACAGACAGAAAAGCACCCCCCCGCCCGCCCCCCGGTCTACAGATGACAATCAGGTTGGTTTTATGATTTACTGGAAGGCAAAGACAAGGGGGGCTTTTCCGTCTTGTTTTTGCTGTGACAGGTTTAGGAATCTGTTGTACTACATTGATTCCATTTTCCTTGATTTCAGCCATCTTTCAATAATGCAGCCCCTTCCGCTCGCTGGCACAGCAGAGAAAGCCCAGAGGAGCGGGGATATGGAAATGGTCCTCGCACTTCCATCTCCGAGACAAATGTTCCCCTCAGCGGGGCTGCTGCAAGCACGTGACGCTCCGCAGCCCGCTCCACACAAAGACGCGCACGCACGCTGTCCTGGGAGCGGGAGCACGTCCCACCCCATCCCACTCCATGATCTCGACGCCCTTTCGTCAGAGCTGCCACATGTGCCCCAGCTGGGGTGTCTTTCCTTTTAGTAGAGAAACATCCAAACTGTTTGAACCAGGCTGCCCCATGGGGTCTGGCTGACCACGCACAGCGGAGCACCCGGGCCTCTAAGTCACAGAGGCGGGACCCGTCCCACGCCCCTCCTGGTGGCTCGGCACACGCAGCCCCTCCCCGAACCCCCACCTTCTTTAAGCTGAGACACTGAGAAAAAAATAAAGCACAACTGTTCCCTCCGTCTCTTACAGCCTTCTGAGCGAGGAGGACGGGGAGAGGCTGGCACGCCGGACTGGGGTAATAAACATGAAAAGTGGGTTCTTTTTCCAAGCGATACATGTGAGTGACATGGGGGTGGCTTTCTGCAAAGGGCACCCCAACCCCGGTCCTTCCTGATCCGGAGCAGATCCCTAACTGGAGAGACCCAGGTGCGCGAGCCGGCCAGCCCCTCCCGCGCTGGGACCTGCTTACCTCTTTCTCTATCTCCGCCAGAGACTTGATGGTGATTCCCAGCAGGTCAAAGGGCTGCATCTGAAAGCACAGACCACAGCGCCCTTCAGGGCTGGCACTGCTCCCTCACGCGGGCGGTCGTGCACAGACCGTGACCTCCGCCCCCGTGTGACCCAGTGTTTCCTCCACCCTCCCCACGGAACCTGGGACCCGTCAGGGGGACCCTGCAGGGATTAGTGAGGGCGCTTCCAGAAAGTGCCCTGTGTAGGGACTGCTGCTTAGTCATCTGCCTTCAGCACCTGGGCGGGTCACGCCGTCCGGAAAGGCAGTGACTGTCACCAGTAACTCCCAGCTCCCCGTCCCCTGCCCACGGGAGAAGCCGTTTGCTTTCTTTCCACGGCTGTGGGGCTGGAGCTGCCCCGCCTTTCCCGGAGGCCGCCAGGCCGCTGCGGGGCGTGGGGCTGAGTCGTTCCAGGAGGCAGGTAGCGAGTCTCTCCTCCCGGACTCAGGTGTCCGGGGAGGAGCTGGGGGAACTCCAGGGCTTTGAAAATGCAAGGTGAACGAAATCACTGCCTACTAATGGTCATTTGCGAAACGAAAGGTGGTGAAAAATAATACCGCGTTTTGATGGGTGTTTCTATAATATCATGAATATGGGGACCTTTTAATAAAAGATGCTGGCTTTTCAACAGACGGCATGCAAAGTCAAACACATGCGGCTCCAAGAGTCAGCGGGAGGCCCAGAGAAGTGGGGGCTGAGTGCATGGTGAGAGGGCAGAGGGCAGACTCTGAGCCCGTCTGGCCCCCTCTGGGCACATGGGCCTTCTCCAGTCCCCCAAGGGCACCGGCCCGCCCCCTGAGCCCAGGGCCTTTTAGGCTCTGAACTGCAGCGCGAGGGGGCGGGGCCTGAGCTGGGCCGGGGGTCTCCTGTGAGACAGGTAGGAAGAGGCCACTTCCAAGTCCAAGGCCCGGGACTCGAAACCGGCCTCAGGTTCCATCACTCCATCATTTCCTCTCCTGCTGGAGAGCAGCTGGGCCCCCAGGCCAGGCTGCTGGGAGGGTGAAGTGAGGGAAGCAGGGAAGCTCTTGGCACCGGGCTTGGCCTGAGTGCGCGCCTTGGGCACTTGCTGAGTCGGCAGCGCCTGGGTAGCAGCCCATTAGTGAGGGCGATCTTGGGGCAGGGCCACCAGATTAGGCACTGGGCTCCGGGCTGCGCTGCCCGTAGCCAGAAAGCAGTTTGGCGCTCGCCTGCTGCCAGGCCGTGCGGCGCACATGGGCCGCCTGCCCGGCTGCCCGGGATCCAGCTGAGGTCCAGCTGTTGTATCATTAGGCTCTAACTGCCCCACTAAACTTCCCGGCCGGAGCTGGTGCGCAGGACAGAGCTGCCTCTCCCAGGAGCCGGCGGGAGAGGCGCCAGCGTCGCCATGGCAACGCGGCCGAGTGGAGTCGGCTGAAGTTACTCATGCTCCGCGTGTCACGTCAGGAGCATTTTTCAAGATTAAGCTGCTTACCAGAAGGGTTCAGAGGAGGCCTATTATATTTCATGAAAATGGAGACTACAGAGCAGGTCACATGGCAAGCCGGGTGGTTTTAAGTCGGATCCAAGAGAAACACTGACGGATTCTTTAGCTGGTGCCCCCACCAGGGCCTTCACGTTTCTTAGCTGCTTAAAGCAAACTTCTTCGGAAAGGACAAAAAATCCCGGGAACCAGGCTATGCAGCCAGCCTGGGCCAGGCCTGCACAGCGGAGGGAGGGCCACTGCCACCCGGGGGGCAGGCAGCAGGAGAGAGGCCTGGGGTGGGCGCCTGCCTCTCAGGTCTGAGCTCCGCCTTCAGGCCCAGGCAGCCCACTCAGTGCCCCCGCCCTAAAGGCAGCGGGGCTGGCACGGGCCTTGGGGGGCTCCCGTGTAGAGGGTGTCCGTGCTGGCCGGTGGCGAGGCCGGCGGTACATGGAAACCCACCGCTGCCTGACACTGCGTGCCGGGCCAGCCCAGCCCACGGGGACTCCCGGCGAGAGCGGAGAGCGGGAATCACCGAGTGTAGCAATTAAAATGGGAAAGCGAGGCAGCCTCCATTTTTGTAGAACATCATCATCGTTAAATAAAAAACCCAAATGAAGCTGAACTTGGAAACCAAGTGAAGTTCAGTCCAATTGACCATCACATTTGAAGCAAAAAGGCTTGGCTGCCTCTGAGTTTGCTAGTCCCTCTGGCGCCCTCCTTTCATTCGTTCTCAAGGACCTCACTGGGCAGCACTGGCTGCCAGGCTCAGAGGGGCCTGAGCCCCTCCCCCTCAGCCTGTCGCTGTCTGCAGGGCTGAGCTTCCGACCAGCGTGGAGGGGGGGTTTTGCAGGGGGGTCAGCAGAAATGACCCGAATGGGGCGGGGGTGTGAGGGTCACCAGGAGAGCCCTGCATGCCATCGCGCCACGGGGCAGAGGGCGCTCAGGCCGGGGGTCGGGGAGGGAAGGGAAATCATGCACGACACTTACACTTTCTGGAACACAAGAAAACTTCTCTGAAATCATAAAAGGCACACCATCCATTGCTGCAAAAGAAGAGAGAGGAAAGGGCATTGTAGATACCATCCATGTCAAAGAATTGAGACGTCAACATCGACAGTACAAGCCAGTCAGTGGCTGGAGCCAGCCAACCTGCACGCAGGAGCGTGAGGCCCAGGGGTGTGCACACAGGCACCATCCCTGCTCCTGGGACACCCCTGGTGCAGGAGGCAGACACCCCCACGTCCCCGGAAGAGCAGGCAGCTGTGTAGACAAGAGCAGTGAGAGCAGAGCGGGCCAGCACCCGCCCCGGAGCCTGGCCTCTGGCCTGTGAGTGGCAGGAGCCGGGGAGGGGCTGCCAGCAGGATGGGGTGCCCAAGGCTGAGAGCACAGCAGGCGCGTTAGACATGCTCTCAGCTGAGGGTCACATCCAGGCTGTGGGGCCCTTAGCAGGGCCCTGGATCGGGTTTTTATCCCTCCTTCCAACTGACAGTCATGTATTTCAGAAGAAAGATCTAGAAACATGACTGCGTTCTGGGCCGTGGTGGTCCCTGGGCTGTTTGTCAGCTCCTGCCGCGCTAGCTGTGACCGACGGGGAAGGGCCCTTGCCCAGGTTGGCTGATTGGACTCCGAAGGATGTAAATACAAACCGAGGAGAAAAAGACCCAGAAAAAAGTAACTTGCAAGACTCGGATATTAGCAACAGTAGCATTTTTATGTGAATCTATGTATAGTTGCATTGCGACCTTTTGTTAATAAAGCTGCTGCAATAATCATAACCTGCATGTGTTTCCATATGATCAGATATAAACCCACTTCTGCCGCCCCTGTATAATGTGTCATGTCTATCTTATAGCATACGCAGGTAATAGGCAACATACATCTTACATTATACATCTATATACACACGTATACATACATGTGCCCACATATGCAGCATTTTCTAAGGCCTGCTCTTAGCTTCTAAGAGACTGAAGGGAGCGGGGAGACAGTGCCTCCCCCAGCAGGCCTTCCCCACCTGCCGTCCAGGGAGAGGTCCCCGCTCCACACCTGGAGAACCCAGGGCACAGTGGGGGTTGTTGGGACCGAGCGAGGCCTAAGCCGCCAAGTGGGCCATCAAGGTGTAGGGCTGAGGCACACCTGTCCTCAGGGAAGCACTGAGGAGGCTGAAGAGAGAGGCCAGAGCGATGCCAGGTGGGACCCCCAGAGGCAGCCGTGTGGAGAGAAGGGAGGACATCTGGGACAAAGTACCACTTTATCTTAGAGTTCAGGATAGAAAGAGGCTCAGTCAGATGCTCTTCAGTCTTCTAGAAAACGGAAGAACACACTCAGAAGGAAGGAAAGCGAGTGGCCGGGACTCTGTGGCTGGGATGGCAATGGAACTCGCTCTAGACACTTCCACCCATGGGTGGAGCTCCTCATACGGGGGCAGAGTCCCCAGGCGCCAGCAAAAGCTTGCCAAACAGAGAATCTGCCTGCCAAACTTCACTTATTTAAAAAATCTAAATGTCAAAGATTATGGTAGGAGGAAGGAATGTGGATTTTGCAAAGCATTTGACAAAACATCTCATGTTAGCCATGTGGATAAGACAGATAAATACGCTGACAATGTGAAGGGGGAGAATCCCTAACTGGCTGGACTAGATGCCCAAGCAGCTGATTAACAGATTGATGTTGACCTTGAGCAATCTCTCTGGTTGCCCAGGGTGTTATCAATGACTTCAGTGAAGATGTGCATAGAATGCTTACGTAATACTAGTGACCCGGTGCATGGATTCATGCACATTGAAAGGAAATTAATTAGAAGGTGGCCAGCAGGGTGGGACTGGTCAAGACGGGCTGGACACGCCCTGGAGCCAACCTCCCGCAGTCCCTCCCTGGCTGGCTGCACCTGGGGTGGCGCCGTGGCTCAAAGGGCGTCTACGGAGTGAGCGGGGTCCCTCCAGCAGGTGGGGTCACTCGGCCTGGCCTGAGGGGATGGGGCGAAACCGGCTCTCTGACATCCCCCAAGGGGTCCCGAAGTGCGAGAGGGCACTCTGCAAAGTTGCTTTGTACACGGTGTGGAACGCAAATGCAAGTGTGCAGTAAACCAGATTCGGGCTGACAGTGCCCCAGCAACAACATAACCCACGGCCGAAGGTGGAATCATACGGCCCCGTGAGGAATCAGGCTCCTCCTCTCTGGTTTCAGGGTGTGTCACCTGAGAACTGCTGCTGCCAAATCACTGCAGGTCGGCAGCTCCTGCGTTGAGCGTTTGCCCCCTGGTGGTTAGTGCACGTCATAGCGACCAATCGGAAGGTCGGACACTTAGCATATTAGCCTTTTATATATATAGAGGCCTGGTGCATGATCATTCATGCACTGGGGGCAAGGGGGTGGGGCTGGGTCCCTCAGCCCAGCCTGCACCCTTTAGCAGTCTGGGAGCCCTTGGGGGATGTCCGACTGACAGCTTAGGCCTGCTCCGTGGACATCCTTAGCGCTGCTGCGCCACTACCGCTGCGCTCACCAGCCATCAGCCCGGCTTGTGGCTGAGCGGTGCTCCCCCTGTGGGAGCGCACTGACCACCAGGGGGCAGCTCCTGCATTGGGCATCTGCCCCCTGGTGGTCAGTGCGCATCATAGCGATGGTAATTCCACTGTTCGGTTGATTTACATATTACCCTTTTATTATACAGGATGTGGCTGACGGGGAGTCAGGGAGGGCAGTTTATAAACTGGTAACAGAGAGAAATCCAAGAAAGATCTCAAAAAGTTGGGATCATGGGCTACACTTAACAGATGGATTGAACTTACTAAAGGTCATTAAGTCCAGTTGGTACTTTAGGCCCCAAGCCGATGGTATTAGGTGGAATGAAAGAGATGTGGAGTCACAGCAGAAGAGATGAACAATAATGTGACTTCACCACGTGAAAGGGGCAGGGATGCCATGGTGAGGCACAGGCTGAGTCCTGCCACCAGAGCCAGGCGGTCGCTGTGTCTGCCGGAGCTCAGTGCGGGGCCGAATCTTCTGAGCGTTACCGGCAGCTCTAAGGAGGCCCAAGATGGTGGGGAACCCGAAGCCAGACCAGTGAGGAGAGGAGAGGACGCTGTCAGGCCTGATGCTCCAGGGAGGCTGATCCTGTCCACTCTTGTTCACTGTGGCCCCACTGGGTCCCAGCGCTGGGCCAGCACACGGAAGGTCAGCAGATGGGGCCCTGGCCCTGGAAGAGGAGGCTGTAAGGTGACCACATGTATTCTCAGCGCTGCCACAGGGGGAGCGGCAGAGAGGTGGGGTGAGGTGCAGAGGGGAGCTGCCCTCCTCGGGGGGGATCCGAGGAAGGGCCAGCAGAGCTGGGTGGGAGCGCCAGGCAGGTGGCCATGTGTCGGGGAGCTTGGGGGGGGGTGGGTGTTCTGTGTGGGGTACAAAGCTGACCTGTGGGACCACTAAATCCCCTTCTAATTCTATAACGCTCATTTCGACTCTCCTTATCTGGGCAGCCTTTTCATGTTTTAAAATATCTAGAGGTTTGCCAAACATAATTCTTAAAATCAACGGCACACGTTTTTCATGTGCTCCAAACGCACGTTCATCAATCACCCCCATCCTGGCTCCTCGTGGGGGAGCCAGGCCTCCCCTCCTTCCCTCCCTCCCTCCCTCCCTCCCTCCCTCCCTCCCTCCCTCCTTCCCAGCTGAAGCCAGTATTTTGTCTTCACTGCTCTGTGCACAGAGGATGATGCGTGTTCTACATTGTCTACTGCTGAGTCCTCTCAGGATGATACGGGATGGGCGGGGGTGGGAGGTGGGTGGGGAGGGGAGACAGCCGAGCAAGGTCCCTGTCCTCAGGGAGCCACTGTCCGGGGCTGCATCTTCTTCTCCAACCTGCCCTCCAGGCAGCCTGGGGTTCCCAGGAGGCTCTCACCTGACCGGTCTGACTGAGTGGTCACGACCCAGAGGCAGGGACAGAGCCTGTCCTTTTCCTCACGGGCCAAAGCAGCCTTCCCAGGCACAGGGCAGTCCCTCGACTCCCCTATGACACAGCAAAGGCCACGCCTCCCCGCCCCTCCCGCTAAGCTCAGAGGTAACCCGACCTGTCCCCAGCCCCGTTCTCCAGAGAAAGAAAAGGAGGAAACCCAAACGTACTGATCCCAGACGAGATAACCCTCAACACGGTCACTTGCAGGTTATTAGGGAAACTGAGTCTCAGAGCAATTATGGAGCCAGGATTCGAGCCCGAGGCCAGCTTGGGGGGTGGGGCGCATGCTGGGGAGGTGACGGGGCGGACGGGCTGGGGGTCAACAGACCGGGGCCTTAACTCCAAGTGAGCAGGTGGCAGATGTGCGGCCGGCAGGTGCCTCAGCTCTCAGAGCCTTGGTGAGCCTGTCTGTAAAATGGGGACAATACAGCACTCTCTCAGGGCTGCTGTGGGGAGAGAGGAAACGTGACGGACAGGCGGCGGAGCGCCTGGTGCGGTGAGGGGCTCGTGCCAGGCCGGTTTCCTTCGAGTACCAGCACAGTGTTTCCTAATTTTGCTTTTCAAATTTGCTTTTGGTGGCAGTTTGAACAAAACGCTGATCCGCGCACCGAGCGAGCGACCTACAGCAGATGAAAGCGAGGAAGTGCCGCGGGCTCCGTAGCACAATTAGCATTCTCCTAAACAAACGCGCTTCGGCAGAGCTGTAATTAAGCAGGCCTGTAATTAAGAGTATGCCCTTTATCATAACGATCATGCTTAAAGATGGCGTGATGCATGGAACGCTGTTATTAATGCTGTAATCCCCAACTGAAGTGCGCCTACATAGGAATCAGCGTGTCAGGCCTGTCACCGGAGTGTTTGTAAAATACATTAAAGAAAAAAACAGGAAACAATGAGCTCATGCAACTGTTCTCTTTTCAGCCAGGCACCCGAGTGCAGAGGCCTGGGAGTGCTCCCGGGACCTGCGAGGTTTAAACAAATAAAGCTCGAAGCTGCTCCTGCAGGGATGCCACCCCCAATGTCGCAGAAGGAAAAGGTGGGGGATTTCCTTCCCAACCGCCCCGAACACCGGGTGCCGTGCGCGGGGAAGTGGCC